GTGTCAAATCATGCAGCATTTTGTAGACTTCATTCAAAATTTAAACTTTTTCCTAAGAACAGTAGGATACCATCAAAGGGCTGTGTGTAGAGGGAGATGTGATCTGATCTGTGTTTTCAAGTTCACTCTGACTGCAGTGAGGAAAATGACTTGGAGAGGGACACAAGTAAATCAGAGGAGAGAGTTAAAAGGGCCATTGCAGTGGTTATGGTGAGATGAAAGTGGTGATAGGGAATGAAGAACTACTTGGGGGATGAAGTCTATACGTTTTGGTAATGGGTGGATAATGGGGGGGAATGAAGTCCTAAGGTCTCTGTATGTTAGGATGGCTCCCAAATTTTTAGCTTCACCAGAGCATAAATAGTGTTGCCATTTGCAGAGAGCACTGGGACATCCATAACTTGGAGGTGACATCTGCTTGCTGATATTAATTGAAGCCATGGATAGGGCATGGATGACATGACCTCGGTACAAAATACACAGTGGGAATAAAGGTAGCTCTGAGGAAGCCAACATTTGAGGTCTGTTGAGGACACTGAACCTGCAAAAGAGAGGTGAAAAAATCAGATAGAAGAATCGGGAAGAGGAAAACCAGGAGAATACGGTGGACTAGAGCACTTTGGTGACTAGAATGTTTTAAGAAGGAAGTGTGGTTAGTTTGGTTGAGCGGTGCCTAGGCACCGATCAGATAAAAGGCCATTAGGTGTAAAGGGCTAGAGATCATTGGTAATCTTTTTGGTGGTATGATTGTGGTATTTGGTGGTGTGAAGTTCAGTTAGGCTGGTTTGAGGAAACAGAGACAAGGGCAGAGAAGTGGGGATACTACGCCAGAGAGAGAGCTAGAGAGATACATGAGGTCCGGAAGATTTTTTAAAATGGGAATGATCATGCAGTTAGTGTTGATGAGAAGAGTTCTGGGGATAGAGATTGAAGACAGGAGTAATAAGGGATCCAAGATGGGAACATGACAGGATTTCTGAGAAGGGAAGAGGTTGAAGGAATTCATATCACAATGAGGAACTGGCCGTGGCGAGAGTAATAGCAGTACCCTTCAAGTGTTAACATTAGGAGCGGATGAGGGTGCTGTGATTGGAGGCTTGGTGTGGTAACCTTAAGGACTCCTGTCTGTCCTGCCGTCCTTACCTCTAGCACCCCTGTCTTCCCTAGTGTGCTCTAATTTTGGTTAGGAGTTGAATGTGTGCACATTATTATGTTAACACCATACAGCTTAGCCATGTAGAGTCCTATGCTCACTCTGCCCTCAGCCTATTTCCTTTGTGTGTGTGTTTGTAATGACCTTTGTGTGTATGTGTGTTTCAGTGAAGGGGGGTGGTTCTTAGTTTTTGTTCTCTCCCCATGAACTGATACACCAGTAATTTGTCATTTTTCATCATCTTGAGGAAATCCCACCTGGAGTCTTTACTAGACTCCTTCAGTCTGCACAGATTACCTTCTGTGCCTGGTTAACAGCTGTCAGGTTGGGGATTGCCTTCAGCTCTCTTTTGTGTTGAATTTCATGTCTTCCTTGTTTTGAGTTTACTCACTCATTTTGAATGTATAGCAAATCCTTCAATAGTTTCCTGGAGAAGGGGATGTGGGAGATACATTTTCTGAGGCCTTGCATTATCTGGACATATTTTTATTCTTTTCCTACACCTGTTTGGTAGTTGGCTCTATAAACACTAGGCTGGAAATCATTTTTGCTCGAAATTCTGAAGGCATTGTTCCATTGTCTTCTATCTTCCAGAGTTGCTGTAAAATCTGAGATTGTTTTGATCTGATCTTTTGTATGCGACTTTTGTCCCTCTCCCTGAAAGCTTGTAGACTCTTCTGTTCCTGTAGTTCACAGGCTGTTCCTTGCTGTGAGTCAGTTTTTACTCTTCGTAATGGGTATATAGTGGGCCCTTTTGATCTATAATTTAGTTTCTTTAGTTCTGGAACATTTTCTTGAATTTTTTCATTGATTTATTTCCTTTGCTTATACTCTATAATTCTCATTTAGAAATTGACTTTCCTGTGTTGGACTTAATAATTTTTCCATCTTTTTTTGTTGAATTTTTGTTGTTTTTGCCCTATTTTATGGGAGTTCCCTCAACTTTTTCTTCAGAGCCCCCTTTTCAGTGTTACATTTCTGCTCTAATGCTTTTAATTTTCAAGAATTTGTTTTTGTTCCTGCATCTTATTTCATTAGTGCAATATCCTTTCTATTTCTGATGATATTAATGATAGCTTTTGTGAAGTTTTCTGTTTCGTATATAGTCTGTTTTCAAATTCCTTTTCATCTTCACTGTTTGTACCTTTGTTCTTTTTTTGGTTTGTTTGAGGCTTTACTGAAATCTGTGTTCAAGAGTTAAAACTAAAGAGCATGTGGACACTTCTGAATGTGCGGAGCTTGCATACTTTTAATTTCCTTGTAGGGTGACCTCCCTCCTTCTCCCAGTCCCTTCTGAGTACCTTCTCCATTTTTTTCTTGGCTTGCTGAGACTCACTCAGAGATGAGTCAGTCTTTGGTCTCCTACTTAGAGAATAAGAATCTGGCTTCTTGTGTTCTGGGAGCTCAATGAGGGAAGATGACTGCATGGTTTTAGCATTCAGTTCACTCCCTCCCTCTATTTTGGTATCGTTATCCCCCTGGACTGTGTCTGGTGGTACTCAGTCTGGAGGCCTGTTTTACTCCACCTAGTGGAAAAACCTCTAGTCTTCTATTGACTGGAGGGAAAAGGCAGTGATCTGGTGGCTTGGAGTGGAGGAGAAAATTTAGGTATCCAAGGCTGATTGACAGCTTTCAGTCAGTCATCTGTATTTTATCCTCCCAAACTCCGGAAGTACCAGGTGTTGCCATTTCCTGGGCCTTTTGAGGATGAGTGGTGTTGATACAGTTGGTTCATGGCTTTGCTCACTGATGATTTAGGATTTAGCTTTCTTGGGTCTGTTATTAAGTAAGTTAACATAATACTTATCCACGTGCTTTCCAGCTTCCAAATCTGTGTAATATACCTGCACAGCTGGTAATTTATTCAGCTGTTCT